ACCTCACAAGCATCCACTTGTAACTGATATCGAACTCAAAAAAATTGCTGTTGGAAAGGAGGATATCAGGTTAATAGTTTTTTATCACTCGCATATGGATTTTGTAGTTTTTTTTTTTTTTTTTTTTAAATAATTTCAGTCATTCGATTTTTAAATCAATTTTTCACCATTATTGATTTTCGACTTTCAACCATTCTCGAGTGAACTTCTGATTGCTTTTTGATGACCTCATCTCAACTAGTAAATTGCTAACTTCAAGAAGTCAAATCTACAATATTGACACACTCTCATTCGAATCAACGTTTTGCTGAATTGTCGCCCTCTGGACTGTTCACATCCCTTCCATTCCGAATCTTTATCTCACCAGCGTTCAGTGTCAATTCAGCTCTCAACTGCCAGCTGAACAAATGGCTTTGCTAGATCTATGCATATCTGAGCCACTCTCTCAAAACCACACCACTCATTCCAGCTCCTGTAATGATTCTTAGCAAAATAGATTAGCCAGTTTATAATAACACTTTCCCATCCTGCACCAATATCGGGAGGTTTTCGACATTCGATGATGCTGCTGCTTTTCACACCTCTTCACAGAAAAGTCGAGAGCGAAAGTCAAAATTCCATCCACGACAAACTAAGGCATTCGGAAAACAAAGAAAAGCATGGGTACTGGCAGTTTGCTGGTATTTCCTGTATTTTTTATATATTTCAGTAAAGAAATATTGCGAGCAGTGCCTTACGTACCAATACTGACAACAACGGCTGTTTGGGCTATATGGTTTTGTGCAATAGCTAATTTTTATTATGAAAATCTGTTGTTCTTTTTTGCACCTACATACTTGCACGCAGTACTTGGGTTCCATGTGCATGATACGGGTTTCACTGCCGCTCTACCTCCTCTGTCACATTTTGCGATCAAAATAGCCTGTGGCATAGCTAGCGATAAGATACGATCGATTGGAGACACCGCCAAAGTAAAGGTAATAATACATTATATCCAGTTATATTCATTTCACGCACAGACCTCTACGATAGCTAGCTTCGAGCAGTGTATCCCTGGAAGATCAACTTCTTTAAAGAACGCGTATTGTACCAGTGCGACATGAGAATCAAAATCCCACGTGCTGAACTTGCGGTAAAGCTGCACGTGCTTGAGACAAGCAATACAGATGAATAACAAATTGTGTCTGAAATTAAACAGATAATAAAGAGCAGGGTGGTTGATTTTCACAAAGCTACATGACATCTTTTTCAACACTAACATTGTATCGGCTATAAGTGGAACACTTTCAACTCCCCTACTATTAGTTCTGTGGAAGTTTTGCGACGCGTAACACAGCGTATTATTAATGTAGCACTCCGATTCCGGTCTGACACAAACGATATGGAGGCAGTGTATGCCAGAAAAAAGCGCCAGACTAGTAGAAGAATAAGAGATGGAATGTTGAATGGTACCTATGCAACACTGAAAGAACACAAGAAAGGATGTCAGTGCGGTGGACAGATCCACTTGAATGCTTATATGGAATTATGTGGATGAACGAAGGTCAGAAGACAGGAAAATGTAAAAGTTGTCCGTTGACTAAAAAAGAAAAAGACAACAGCGAACATTTTTCCCCACCACTTAAGCATTCTTTTCTGAGAAGCAGTAGCTGTTTCTGTGAATTCTACTTTTTTTTTTTCTTTTTTTTTACAGATATTCAACACAGTGGCATATTTTGGATGTGCGGCATGTTTATTCATACTTGCTTTTTTCGGTGACGGTCGGAAAATGCTATGTTTGGTGTTGTTGTCCTTATCCGCAGGATTTCTTGGTTTTACACCCGGTGGATTTTACAAAGTATGTTCTTGCCCCATATCGTTATCCTCATGCCGAAGTTTTCTGATCCTTCCGATATGCGAAGAATTTGAATTCGTTGGTTATACACTAAATGTCCGTGTACCCAGAAGGAAAAAGCTATCGTAAAATAACTTTGTTTTACGAACCACTTATGATGTCCTAGATCTGGCTTTGAGGGAAATTCATTGCTGCTCCTCCTAAGGTTTGGTTTTCGAGCGATGTTTCAATGAATCTACGTTTCAGTCGGCATCGCTTATCGCACGGCACTATGCACCCTTCGTCACCGGCAACGTGTCGCTCATGATGATTGTCACAATGCTTTTCGTACCATTCGCTGTGGCAACAATTGCGCCTGACAATACTGTGTTCCAGTGGCAAATCGTAACTTATTTTCGAAATTTGAACAACCAACAAATTTTGTCTCTTCCTGCCAATATATGCATGCAGTACCGCACCCGTATCCTAAACTTTGACATCCCTGAACTACTCTTCCCAAACAATCCCGCAGAGCGCCAAATTGTTGATATTTTAATGAAAAACCGGTCGGAAGAGTTTAAGCTCGCTGCGACGTCAAACTCGGTTTTTTTCAATTCTTGGTCCGACAACCAGCACCTTTCTCGCTTAGACTCTGGTCATCCTTTTACTCCGGTTATCTTTTCATGCAGGAGGCAGGGACTGGGATGGGAAGTGCTGTTTCTTCCGGGTCAGGATGAAAAAGTAGTTTGTCATAGAATTACTGTCTGTCATAGCATTACTGCTATGCAACTTACAACTCGGCGTACTCACCCCATTTTGGATTGCAGATATTTTATTCCACCGGTGCGTTGTTCATCGTCACTGGGACTTTCTTCCTGTTCTTCGGATCTGCACATCCTGCTGTGTGGACGCAAACACAGAAGTGAGCAGAACTACCACTCAGATGCAGTGCAGGTAACTGGAGTGCTGATAATCGACGAACCATGATTTCGAACAATCGATGCCAGAAAACTGCATTGTGTG